CCCCCCCCCCTCTCCCAGGCTCCCCACAGACTACACATACCTCCACAACCACACCCACTCCATACCTTTCCTCCCTGCACACAATATGGAAAAGTAACACTGTATTTTGAGCTACCATGCAATTGCTTCCATGTACACTACTAAAAAAAACATGAATTAGGAAAAAACTATGTTTTGAAATAAAATTGAAATATGTTACAGTAGGTGTTTGATTTTTAGTATATGGTTTGTTTTTTATCTGTAACTTGTTCCAATGATATCTTCTGAATTATTTTGTGTGGCTCACCAAAACTTAAGTGGCCTGCCAACCGAAATAATTGTCCACACTTGCTCTATATGAATAAGGAAAGTAGACTTTACAATGCTGAGATCCTGTTTTTTTCCAGATCATGTTTGCTTACTAGTTCATAAATTTAGTAATCTACAGTGAGGTTCTCAGACATCCCAGTAACTTAATGATGCTCTTCTGTAGTTCAGAATCATATTCTTAGCTTTTCTTGCAGCACTACTTTAGGACTTCCATTATAAATTCTGATTTCCAGATTATTATAATAAGACAGTTATGTTTGATTAACTGTTAAATCTGGTGAAAATCTTTTACAATTGAACCCATTTCTGTAACTTATACTGTAGTTTAAGTTTGTTTTAAAAGCAATGGGCAAAACTTAAATACAAAACTAAGAGTGAATACTGAATCTATTAAGGTCAATAAAAACATTTCCAGTGACTTTAGTGGAAAAGGTCCACACTAGGCCCGTGCAAATAGGGAAGTATTCGATTCAGACTGATTCAGCCGAATTAGTTTCAATAGGTTCGGCAGTGATTTGGAGAGATTCGGTGATTCGGCCATAGACTATAATGGGGAATCACTGTTGTCATTTTTTTGGCAGAATTGGATTAAAATAGCAGGGTGGTAACCCCTTCTGAGGCCATGAAGCATCCCAGGTTTCAAGGAGATAGGTGCAAGAGTTTCTGGGAAACTGCACCTCAAACTGTTCAAAGCAAAACTCATGATATCTGTGACTTTGTGTGTCTGATAAGGTGCAGCAGGGTGAAAACTGCAGAGATGGTAGCCCCTGTTCTAACCTTCACAACTCCACTGTAACCAATAAGCCTGAGACCTCTCAAAGATCTTACAGGTCTGGGCTTTCCCCAGCCAGGACTGTGTGGTCTGGAGGTTATCATGTGCCTCCTGTTCCTACCCAGCTTTCACCAGGGAAGTTTATGGTCCTGGCATTTCCTAGGGCTTCTGTGCCACCAGCAATTCCACCCAGGCCTGCCTACCCTGGCAGGGTATAGTTTAGGTCATGCCTAGGATGATGTGTGGCCTCCTCCTCCCCATATAGCCCCATTCCTTATACCTCCAATTTATTCCTGGCACAGGAGCTCAGCAGGGAGATGTTCTTCCCTTGGTGGCTGTTGAGAAACTAAAATGCTGCCTCCAGCTCTAGAGTGGGGCATTAAATGGCCGCCATATCCTGCCACATACATAGCCCCTCATTCGGGCACGAGGGTGGCCTGCCAGATTTCAGGCAGAGTGGTGCAGGGGTTTCTGTGAAACTACACCTCAAACTGCTGAAAGCAAAACTTGTGTCACTTGTGTGTGTTAAGGAGTGTACGTTGTAGCTCTGTTCATCTAAGGATATAGCTCAGACAAGGTTCTTAGGGTCAATCTGATATCTTTTATTAGACCAACTGAATAGTTGGAGAAATTCTTCTTTGCTAGCTTTTGGGTTTTAAAACTCGTCATCAGGCTGAGGAAGCATCTAGTTGGGGTGTGTGTGCTCTTCCTGAATAGAAGGAATAGTAAAGAAGCCACAGGCTAGCATGCAATGCAGGCAAGAAAGCCAGTCAGTGAAAATGGAAATGGAGGTGTCAGGGGGTGAGAGACAGGCAGGGAGGTCAGGGGGTTAGCAGGTAAAAGTGGAGAGGTACCTGCTACCTGGGGAGTCAGATGTCAGGCAGGTTGTAGTGTGTCATAAATCCACTGTCTATATTGGGTTCATGAGTTTCTGTATCTACTAGGAGATTGATGAAGTGAAATTCATATGCTCGTCTGTGAAAAGTGGTTCTTCTTTGATTACTGTATGTCTGATTAATATCTCTTCTTCTTCGCTGTTTACTGCATGTATGTGTAATTAATCACATTAATATATCTTCTTCTGTGGTTACTGTATGTATCTGTAACTAACTAATATCTCTTATTCTCTGTTTACTCTGTTTACTGTATGCGTGTGAGTGTGTGTCATGTGTGTGCTTTTCTGCAGAGTGATGGATCACACTGCCAGGGAAAACACAGCTTTCTTTTTAAAAAGTGTGGCAAACAAGAATAAATTAGAGATTTTTGGGGGAAGAATAAGTTGAAATAAATGGATTGGGTAGGGATAAGTAGAGGGATTCTAGGCAAGGGTCATTAGTAAGCTGTATCCAATCCTTTGCAAGAAGACAGACTAGCAGGAGGCTGAGTAGGAAGCCAAGGCAGTCCAGTAGTACATTTCAGACATTCTTGCTCAGGCAGAAACAGCTCACAAAAGGAACAGAAAAGCTGCGGACAGAGACTTATATGCTGTTTCTAGGTCCCTCCCCAAGAACACAGTAATTGGAAGGGGACTCGGGGAAAGATCACAGTCACTTGCTAGCTACAAATATCAGTCTTTCCCCACCTGCTCCCCTCCCTTGTCTCAGTTTCTGTTCCCCTGAAAGACTGCCTTCCAAATCTCTGAATCTTTTCCAGAATCTTTTCTGAATCGATTTGGAGGGTTTTTTGTGTCTCCTGATTCAATTCAGATTTGATGATTCTGACTCTGAATCGTGCCGAAACTTCTCTGAACCAAATTGGCGACTGACGCTTCGCATACCCCTAGCATACACCCTAAATGTTAAGCAGCAGCTCTTAGAGATGTTGAGATGGTTAAACCGTAACCCTTATGCTTTATAGATTCTGAGTTGCAGGCAGATCCATAACCCTTACTGCCAGATGGAGGCAAGGGTGAAGCGGCTCCCTGCAAGTCACTGCAGGAGCTGATGGAGGGCATAAACCCTGCCCTTATCAGAACTGGCTGCTGCTTTCAGCGAACTCTTTCACCCTCACTGCATAACCAGAGCTGTTTCTTAGTACTCTGTGGAACAGGAGGCAGCTCTGCTTGCCCCTGTGACTCATGGGGCTTGGGGCTGTTCTGGACAACTGCAAGAGCAGAGGGATTCCCAGTACTGTAGTGCCTCTTCTAGTGCTGGGTGGCCAGTGCACAAGATACCCACTGTTGGGAAACTGGTGCTGAGCAACTCCATGTGCTGACTTATTGAAGAATTCCTGGGCCACACAGCACTGGGTATTGGTTTTATGACACTGGGTAGCTTATCTGCCTGGGGGAACCTGGGACCAGGCAGCTCCCGCCCCAGCAGCCACAGGGACAGAGCAGCCTGCATGTTGCCCTGACAGTTCCCTCTGGGTGGGATGCAGCTTCTTACTACATGCCTTGGGGGAAGTTGGTGGGGCAGGGAGAGGACAGCACAGCACTCTGGGACTGGAGTGGGTTAGAGACTTGGCTGGACATTAACTTTCTCCTTCCACAACAAAGTGCTCACTGTTTGAATCAACAGCTTTGTTGTGGATCTACCATTTTTGTAGTGAAACAGCCACGTTTTTCTTGGTACAAATCCTTTTAACACTTGGTATTTTACCATGTATCCCTCAACAAATGTAACGTCTGGAGGGAGCCATAGTTACTCACAGGACAAGTAGCAGAAGAGAGATTTACTCCTGTTTCAAATTGAACTTGCATTGTTTTTAAGTAGGTTGCACATCCTCATATTTGAATAGATTACATTGTACTTCCATTTAATCCTTTTTTAGTTAATATAATGAAGTCCATCCAGCCATGTGCTCCTGACAGTGATATAGTGCAACAGTATCATAACTCAGTAGCAGAAGTTATGGAACTGAGAGAAGCCTTTCAACATTATTAATTAATCAAGTAAGGAAAGCCTAAAGATAGGACTAAAGGCTATTGGTCATCAGACATTTTTAAAGGCATGGGACAGAAATTGAACTAAAGCACTTGTATGAGAACTTGCAATGAAATAGATGCCCAGCTTTTGGCGAGAAACCCCTGCTGGTGTAATAGCCTTCCTTCACAAGGGTCATCCATGTATTTAATGATTCTATTTGTAATACAGACAAGTTCACATGAGGAGTAACACTTATCAGACTTGAGAACTAAAGGGTAATCAGACTTACTTAATTTGTAGGAAAAGTGCTATTAAACTCACTGACCTTACAGCAGTGATTCCACTGAAGTGAATAGAAGTTTTTTTTTCTGAGTGAATTGATGAAATATGGTGTACAAACTGCACAAGCAGTTGTGAATTGCAAGAATTTTTGTGGTGATGCCTTTTATTGGACTAGCTGCATGATTGGGTTAGATTTAGACCAGCTTTCAGATAACACAGTGCCCTTTCTCTGCTACAACATCACCTCAATACTACAAACAGTGGTGTCTTTTTAATAATCTCAAGAAAAGTCAATATAATTGGACTTTAAAAATGACGCTCTCTCTATAGACTGTCTGAACATATTTGAATGTAGTAGTAGGTCTTCTAAGAGTCTTGTTTTTAATATGCCCATTTTCTTTGCAAATGTTATATTCAGTACTCACTGTATTTGCTAATTGTTAATACCTTTGTTGTTGCAGATTCAGAAGTGGTGTATAAAAATAGGAATGGACATGTTGTTAAACTGAATGTAGAAACAAATACAACCACATTATTATTGGAAAATTCAACTTTTGTAAGTAATATTTATTTATTTTACTAATTTAAACTATGTCACTTTTCAGTGGAATTCAATTAATTAATTGGGGTACTTTTGGTATTCTTTTTTTTCTGTAGCAGGATTACAATGAGTATAGTGCTTAAGCAGGATATAGACCTTGTCTGTCTAGAATGGATGACATTAGAAATGGAAAATATTATCTAACAGTGCAAGAGCTTCTCCTCCAGTATATTCTCATGATTTCTGCCCTATGTTTAGATGAATCAAGAAAGCATTACCATGGCAGTAATCTACACTCTGGTAGTGTTCAAACTCCTGAAGTTTGTCTTCTTCTGTGCTCCCTATAGTGAATATAAGGGATGTGTATAATAAGATAATCATATGACAGAGGAAATAGTATTAAAAGCTGATAGCATTGGCCTCTTTGAGGGTCACAATTTTACAAGAACAAGAATCCAGAACAGAAGATTTTGGAAAAATAGCTATCCAGTAGAAAAATTTTGTGGGAGGGGGAATGGTGAGTCTCCTCCCCCAAATTAAATTACTGCAGAATTCAAGCAGCTCTGCTATTAAAGTAAAGAAAGAAACAGGCATATTTACCATTTTTACTAATCCCTTTCTACTGTTCTGTTCTTCTTGACTAGTCATGGACTGTTCTTCTTGAACTCCTGTAAAATGCTTAGTGCATCTTCTGGTGCTACCTAAATAATAAGTATTATTATGAAACTTGCTTTATATTTAGTCAATTTTTTTCCCTTTATTCCCTTTTATGTCATTATGCACAGTGTTACTGCTTGTAACCTCCCCTTTACCTTCACTTAGCCAAGTGGTAGGCTCCATGTATCATGCTTCTCAATCTTTCCTCATAAATATGCCTTAAAGCCCTTTATTGCTTATGCAAATAATATGAATTCACTTCAGTTTCCTAACCTCTTTTGGGTGCCCAAAACTGAAATTAAGATTCACTTTCAAGAGAGCTCTTTGCCAAAGGATTACATCTTTCCTCATCTGTGACATGAAGCCTTTGTTGACTCAGCCTAAAGAGAACTTGTCCTATTTGCTTCAAATATAATGCATGCCAGCTTTCCTTCTTCCTCTCCTCATGGGCATTGGAGTCCACACATCCTCTTTTTTCCAGCAGTTTGAACTAAGGAAAACAGGAGCTCATGCAAATGAGCAAAGCCATAGGAGTGCAGGCGCCTTGATTCAGTGCAGAGGTGGGGTGTGCATTTGCTGCACATACAGGTGTGGTAGCCCTCTGACCCACAGGGAAAGGAGAGGGAACTGTGCCTCGGGGTGTCTTTGAGGTATAATGTCTCCTAGGTCTCTTGTTGAGTTGATTCGGTTTACCTATTGCATGCTCACAGCTCAGCCCCAAGCCCTAAGAAGGGTTGGAAGCATTAATTATAAATGTATTTTTCTACTTGCTTCCTTTCTACAAGGCAAAACGTCAAATATTACAAAGAGCAATTGCCATCCCTATTTCTCGGAGCCTCTTTTTGCCGAGCACAGGATTAACTGTGTCAGACCCATGTATTATCTCCAGAGCATAACTTGAGTACAGACCTCTATTGGACCTTCTGGCTTGGCTTCTAGACCTTGATGACAAGACTTAAGTTGCCTTCTAGATAATGCCATGCACTTTTGGCTGCTGACACTTGGCTTATGTGTTACTAGGGGTAAGACTGGTATAGCAAGCTATTCAGACCATTAGGCTAGGCTACTGATGCCAGGTAACAATGACTTGATGTGGACAGCCAGCTGCGGACTGCAAATGCCACCTTTGTTCATAAAGATGCTGTTCTGCAGGTTTACATTACAACAAGCTAATCCAACCTTAGATCAGACTGACTGACAGAGTTCATGACACAAGACATGCGCTCCTAATTACGAACTCGCTACTGATCAAATATGCATAATACCCAACTTGATGTCTAACAGATTATATGTAGAATAAAAGCAACAAATAAAGACATGACATGGGGGGGGGGGTTTGAGCATCTCCTTTGTGTACAGCGAGCAGACATAGTCGGTAGAAAAAACAGCAAAAGATAAATGAGGTAGATACTACCCACAGTTATTCACAAACAAGTGGAATGAAAAAGCTGAATGTGGAGCTGGATGATTGTTGGCACATGCTTGGCAGGTGTATCAAAGGGGAATTTTGATGTACCTGATTTTCTTTCTTTGATGAAAATGTGGCTAGCAATCCTAACAAGAGGTTATGACACAACAGAGGCAGACTGCAGAGTTGAAACCAAGAGCTCTCTTGTTCTGCTAAATATCACTTCTCTCATACTAACAGTGCTAGATGTACTCAGCCTGAGCTAGCTGTTTGGATCATTAATCAGACTTCCCCCCCTCAACATCACATCTGCTTAATCACTAGTGCATAATTAGAAATGGTTCCGTTTTAATGACTCTACAGAGCTGTCTCATATTCATCAAAACCGTGCGCACCACAACACGGACTATGACAGAGAGATCTTCCACTCGCTGTCCCATCAAAGGGTTTCAGCCGCGAGAATGAGGCATTAGTCTGCCTTTCATGCTCGTTTCCTAACTCCCTCGCTTTTGCTTAAAACTGCTGTTAAAGACTGTAGGTTTGTCTTACTGCTGTTGATAGTTTCCTATTAGTAATCAGATATCCATAATAAACATTGTGCCCTGTGACAAGTAGATAGACTGTGTTTGGTCAGCCCTCTCACTGGCTGTATTTGAACTAGCATCTTTGAAGGGAATTTCTTCCTACCTGATTGCTGATCCCCTTAAACAGTCCTCAAGTAGGCAGCTCAGTAGTTGTTGCTGCACTTGCGGGAGACAGCCATTTTGTGCAGAATACATTTCTTTTTATAGTATTTAGTGTCACTTTCTGTCGAAAATGCAAAAAGCAAAAGTCTACCAAAGAGCCTTTGAAAGGACACCCACTGTGCTCCCTACCCTTTGTATCTGCCAGCAAAACTCAACACAAAAGGAAGGCTCCGAGTTTATTAAAAACTTCTAAGTTCTGTCTGCCACTGAAAATTTTCTGCAACAAATGCTACCACTTTTTTTCTTTTTTTATTAAAAAGTGATGATGTTTTTCTTTAAAGGTAACCATTTCTTCTCCACAGAGAAGTGCTTTTTAAAAGTCTTTATTAAAATATGGATTTATTCAAAGACTGTTGAAATCACAGCACTTCAGCATAATTAAGTCATTTGTCCTCTTCAAATTGAAGCCTTTTATATAATCATTGTATTAGTAAAACAATCTAATGGGCAACATAATATATTAGGAGCAGAAAAAATTACTAAAGCATTTAAATTGTCCTAGTAGCCCACTACCTTCTAGTTAGTCATTTCAATATTTTTATTTTTACTTGTCCGATTATATGCGGGTTATCAGTAAATAGTGTGCTGCATCTAGTGGGTCAATAAATACTTAATATTCTAATTTGTCCAGTGGTACGCATGCCAGTTGGATATTGGGCAAATTTTGAATGAAGGCAAAAAAAGGCACACTAGACATGAATCTCAACATGGTACCTTGATGTGTGTGATTCTGAATTTATATGTAATGGTTATACATAATCTGTCACCTGTCTAAGGTGCCTATTACTGTGAAGTGTAAGGATCATGCTTTCCAGTTGTTCAGCATCCAGCAAACCTTTATTCGTATAACTCATTACAATTCCAAGATGAATTTAGACTGAGAAAATATAATTAGTCTAACAACTTTTTCTTTTGGTTCTTTCTTTTTTAGGCTTTTTTTGTTTGTTAGATTTTAAACATACAAACATATGGTAAATAAATTAATTACCAGTTCAGAATCCATAGGAGCAATTTCAGAACTGGCTGTGTGAACGAGTAGAAAAAGGTGTGAAGGACATTAATTGTCTCAGCTCATGGAACGTATGTATGACTCTCTACTTCCCCCTTCCCACGATCCTACCAATGGAGCTCCTGTAATGTAATTATATGTATAAAGTACAATCCCAAAAAGAAACAGATGCAAAGATTTGGGGGGGTGGGGGGAACCCACTCATTTTCCAACTCACCTGAACTGCATCTCTTCCCCTGCTTCAAAAAATCCCCCCAAAATTGTGGTTGCAAAAATAACCAATTTAATAACTGCTTAAAATGTGAAATTTTCCTGCTGCTGAGACAAGAGTGTTGAAAAATGCATCATTCCTTCCTGAAGGAATTCTTTGAAGCTTAGATTATTTATTCTATATTTCTATTATTAACCAAACTTTATGCAGCTTCTCACTGTGCATACTTATTTACCCCAAATTTTAAAACTGGCTTCTAAATTGATCTCAGATTTTTTAACAGGCTTTCCTAGTTTTATGTTTCATGCTATACAATTCACCCTTAGTGTCCAACAGCCTCCTTCCCAGCTTCCCACCAGATTTCTCTTCCTTTCCAAAAAATCTTTATTTCAGGCATAAGAGAGCCTCCATTCTGGGACTCAGCCAGCTAATCTATTTAAATTGCACATGTTTCCAGGGGCTTCCGGATTCGATATACCCCAGAGTGTGTTGTGCTGCTTGTATTATCATTACTGTGGGCCATCTTTCACACGTGGGCTGATAGAGAGGGATTACTTTTTGCTGCCTGCTAATTAGGAGGATGGCTTCAGAAGGGTGAGCAGAGCAGAAAAAGTTTTGGCTCATGAATCATGATTAGGCTCTGTGGCAGCCCAGCTGTGAAAGCCCAGTGGAGGCCCTGCAGCCAAAAGAAGAGAATTAGAATTTTAGTCTGAACAGATCTTTTGGCATTCAATATTTTGTGATATTTCGCATACCATTGTTCATAATAAGACGTGTGTGTGTGTGTGTGTGTGTGTGTGTGTGTGTCTCTCTCTCTTCACCTCCCCACACCCTTCCTCCCTTGCTGGGAACTGAACATAGCATCTTAATGCAATTATAGTTTCTTAGCTTTAACTGTAAGAACAGTTTACTTGGTTATATTTTATTTAGGAGCCTTCTACATGCTATTAATAAAAGAGTGAATAATGGTAGATACATTAACCA